AAAAAACAATAAGCATAAGTTAATTTAGTTTAATTTCATTCCTTGATGGATCTGCTGCATTGACTGTAGTCAGTAATTGATTATTTTGCACAGATTCATTCTAAACGTGCTTCTATTTATTATTTTCTATATGTATTAAAGTAGGAAGATATTTCTGTTGAACCTCTTAAATAAAGCTCAAATATATTTTGCTCCATTTTAGAAAATGTCCCAACTTTATATATAATAAAGTTCACCTGTTCAACTTCTTGTTATTACAAATAGCAATAAGCCAATCTCAATGCAGCAGCTCAGTGCATTTACAAATCTAAATGTGGTAAAGATGGCTTGTTGAATTTAAAACCAAGTCTCAGAACGAGGAAGAAAGGAGATAAGCTTCACTCACCGCGCAGATCTAAATGCTTAAATCTGACTTTTATTGACATTTGGTTTATTTGAGTGGTTTTTTCATTATAACACCATCGACATTCATGTCCTACCTGCTCTTGTTTGTTGCAAGAGTTGTGGGACAAAAATTATTTAAATTTTTTCTCACACATGAGCTCATGAGCCTGTTCTTGAAACAAGGTCTAACTTGTGATTGGTCAGATTTTTGTTGTGGGCATGTAAACCCTAATTTACATTACTAGCGTTCCATCTCCACTCTGCTGCACAGGTCACAGCTGTACGTTTCAAGTCCAGTTTACATTATCTCCGCTCCCCTCCGGTCCGACAGACGTGCAGGAAGGAGATTGCGCGATAAATTCAGTGATAAGTGTGGAAGCCACAGCAAAAAATCATCAATTCTGTGAAAGATGAAAGACGAACTCCAAACACAGCTGAAAACAACGATATAAAGGCTTTTGGTATCTATGTTGAAACTATCTCGCTGTCGTCTTTCTGAAACTTCTGATTTCAAAATAAAATCCACGTGTATCGTGTGTGTACACATAAGCTTCATGCTACATGTTTCCATCTGCTTCCCAAACAGAACAATACATTCTGACAGCATTTGTGTAGAAATATATCCGTATATTTATTAATACAGCAGCAATTTTGACATTTTTCCAACAAATTATCCAGCCTAAAAATGTCTTATTTTGAAAATACGGATGTTGTGTTCGTTTCTTTTCCTGTTTCTTTTGGTGCGACGTAATCCGGCAAAAATAGGATCTGTTCTAATTTTGACGGATCGCCGTCCGCTCACCGCCGCCGTGCACAGCCAGTGTAAACACTCTCATTGATTATAATAGGTGTGTATTTGCTGCGGAGGTCGGACCGGAGCGGAGACGGAACGCATGTAGTGTAAATTAATGTGGAAAGAAAGGTGAACTGCGGAGCTCTCATTTTACTTCAAAGAACCAGCTGGCTTAGGCTGTAGGAAAATCCATCCATCTCTAAAACTGTTCCAGTAAAACTTATGAAGATAGTCAAAAGCTCCTGGAAGGAGCAGCACATCGGCAACAGTGGAGAGGAAAAACTAACAGGAAGAAACCTCCAGCAGAACCAGAACCAGGCTTAGGACGGGCAGCCATCTGCCTCGAATGAAAACAAGGAACAGGTGTGAGAAGGGAGATATGACTAAGAAGCAGGCCTGACAGAGGAAATGAAATGAGAGTGACTGGAAAACTGTGAGAATGTGTGTTTTTGTTGTTCTTTGTTACTTTCCTCTTGTGTGCCCTCATTGTCTTTTCACATTCTCCTCGGTCTATTTCCTGCTGTTTACCGGCCTAATTATCTCTCTCACCTGTCAGCGTTTTCCAATTAGTGTTCCCCAGCTGCCGTTCATTATCCCCCTCCCTCTGTTTGCTTAAATACTCTTCTCTTTGGTTCATTCCTAGCTGGTTCATCAGTGTGCATTGCCAATGCAATGCACACTATTGTGATTCGTTTCCCATCCAAGTCATCTCAACTTTGCCATGCTTCTCATCCTGTATACTTTGTCCTACAGCTGCCATTGTAATTTATATCTGTAAAGATCCTGCGCCAAAAGATGGCTATGCCTTTTGGTGCCTGTAAAACTTACAGTTTGTGAAATATTAATGTTTAATGAAATATAATTGCAGTCAATGGAGCCTTGTATTGGTCCAATACTGCCCCATGCTGTACTCAACTTGGTACTGCACCATAGTTTAATATTTCAACTCAGTAGTTCAATGTTTACAGTACTAATATCATTGTATTTTTGGTGTTTTACTATAATATTGTCTTAATACTGCTTGATTGTTGTCATATTATGCATTTTTGTGTCAATAATTGTATTGGCAATGTGGCCTCTTTCTGCACACATACAAATCAACCCCTGCCACCATCTTATGCAACAACTCCATTGTTCTAGTGGTCTATGTCATGGACTTTCATGTGGGAGATCAGGGTTCAAAACCCAGCTAATGCAACTTTAACAAAAAAATCTCTTCATATTTCATATTGTCACTCAATTACCTTAATTACAAACACCTGCTGACGTGACAGGCACAAGCTGGTATAGAAAACACATTTGAACTTGGCCAAAGTTCATTCTGCAAGTCCAATGCTGCAGGCAAAGCCATGCTGCAATGACATGCTGCAAGGCAATGCACACTTGTTTTTACATCATAAAAACCCATGTCTAGTTGTATACTGTCTTGTTGTCTCCGTGTTCACTGTGACTCCCTTGTATTTTTAGTTTTTGTTGCTGCCCCGTCAGCTTTTCTTTTGTTAAATAAATATTTTTTTATTCTCATCCTCCGTCCGTACCTGAGTTCATTCCCTCATGCAAAACCTGACAAAAACAAACTAACTGGAAAAGTTTACACTGTATTTATTCATGTATAATACTAGAAATTTAACCCTAAAAATCATCCATAAAGTGGGGCATGGGGAGGAAGTATACAAAGCGTATTGATGATTAGATTTTTTATGCTTTTTAAGCTAAAAAAAATGTTGATTGTATTATACTGGAGATCATATTATACATGAATAAATACTGTACAGTATATGTTCTTTCTATGCATGCATGGATTTTCATCGATTTCTTCCTCAGACAAAAAACATGAAAGTTACGCTAACTGATAACTTTAATTGTTCTTAGACAAGATTGAGAGAGTGAATAGTCATTTGTCTCTGTGTGTCCCGGACGGACTTGTGACCTGTCCAGGGTGTCCCCAGACTCTTGTACAGTGACTGCTGGATATGGGCACTAGTGACCCCTGTGACCTGGAAATAAAGAAGTGGGTTAAGATAATAGATGGATGGATTCTATGTAGCAAAATTAAAAAAAAAAATTAAAAGGCAAAATATAATAATAATTGTTCTTGAACATGTGTTTTCCCTTAGAAAGTCACAGTGGTTGGTAAAGATAAGTAATTAACTATTATCAGGTTTGCAAAGGTATCTCAATTCAGGGGAGGGGCGTGAAAATATGTATGTTCCCTATAGGTTGGGCACTGGGCATGACAGAAAATAATTTGAGAACCACCGCTCTAGCGTGCATGTTTCTGTGAGAAGAATTTTACCTGTAAAAGCCACACATGCAGACTCCACACAGAAAGGCCCCATGTAGGCAGGAGGCAAACCTGTAACCTTCTTGACACGCTGGGTTTGTTAGAAACAAAAAAATAAATCTTTTTATTAAGAAAAATAATGTCACACTCCAAAAGCCTTGATAGTAAAGCTGCTCAGGAAAACTGCAGCTTAAAGGGATCCCAGATAAGTTGTAACATTAGACTTTATTTGTATATTTTAACTGTAAAATAAAGACTATAAAAATACTGTACGGTGTTCAGTTTTTATAATTTTTAAACTAAAAGTTTAAAAATATATTACACGGACAGGGCCATTTTATTACACGCAAAGCATTCTGGGTAAATGATGACATCAACTAGATCATCGGTGCGAGGCTGCTAGTGAGCTATATCCACCCTGAAGGTTAATCTTGGACAATATCTGATGATCGACTCTTTTAAATGAAACCAGAGAGCGTTGACAGAGAGGAGAAGGTAGAAATGACTCAGCCTGTAACTGAAAATATGGATGGAGGACAACAGAGCTGCTTCATGGAAGAAGAACTTCAGCTTAGCCTGTTAGCTTTAGCATTAGCCCCAACGCTATCACCATATATATGTATTAGCTCAGCGCTACACATTCTCCTCTCATCACTGAGGTCCTCCATCCACATGACAGAGAGGAGAACGCAAAAATGACTCAGCCTGCAACTGAAAATATAGATGGAGGACCTCAGTTTAGCTTGTTTGTCGCGCTAGCACCGAGCTAATAAATATTAGGCTATATAGCGTGAGGGCTAGCGCAAAGGCTAACAAGCTAAGCTGAGGTTCTTCTTCCATGAAGCAGCTCTGGTCGATATAGCTCGCCTGGCAGCCTCGATGACCTAGTTGATGTCATCATTTACCCAGAATGCTTTGCGTGTAAAGAAAATGGCTCCATCCGTGTTAAAATATATTTTAAAAAAATTTACAAAACTAAACAGCCTACAGTATTTTTACAGTATTTATTTTACAGTTAAAATAAATGTTTATCAAATAAAGTTTAATGTTACAACTAATCGTGGATCCCTTTAATATGCATGACTGCAGACCAGGAGGGACCATTTCCGGTGTCATGCTGGCCCACGAGTCGCCAGTTCATAATGACCAAAACACACCATCAACACTAGTTTTTTTCTTCAGTGGACCACAACTATTGAAGGACTTGTGATCGAAACATGACTGACTCATTTTTGCTGCCACTGTCAGTTCAGCTGCTGAAATGGCTAAAACGTCCCACTGTATCAGCTGTTTTGATATTAATTGGTGTAAAAACGACAGCAGGCTGAGCAAATGACTGTGAAAGCCTGTTCATTATAGACTACCTGCTACTGAAAACTCGCCTGTTCGCCATCCCGGGACTCATCATTTCACCCTCTGCATCGTCTGCAGCGCAAACCGCTCCAACTGGGTCGTCGTGGACCAATCACCAAAACCCTAAATACACCATCCGAGTGATGCGCCTGCATGCACAGCGGTGAAACGGAGCAGGCTACTCACCGTCTGGAGTGCAGCCAGTTATTCGGCTAAATAAAGTGACGCAGGACCGGTCCGTTCCTGTGCTGCGAACAGAACCGTGCACACCTCAGCGGAAGCATCCTCCCGTCCTCTGACGGTTTGTAAACAGAGTATTTATTTGTGGACTGGACCCCCTCCAGTGAGGAGGTGCTGCATCACTGGGTCACTTCCTGCTCAGGAATGATGCTCTTAAAGAAGTCAGCTTCAGTTTAGTATTAGTAGCTTAAACTCTACAATTGATTTGAATTGATTTGATTTATTAATTTAACAGGAAAAGATTATTAAAAATCAAGCCTGACTCAGCATAATTGCTGTTTTACAGCAGGTTCCTGTTCTGCAGCACATAAAA